TTTTTTTAAGTAGGCTGCCTGCCGAACGCGGGGCTCGAACCCACAACCATGAGATTAAGACCTGCACGGAAATCAAGAGTCCGCCACTCAACCGACTGAGCCACCCAGACGCCCCCTATCTGCATATTTTTATTTTATTTATTTATTTATTTTTTCTATTCACAAAGAAAAAGCTCCAGTCCGTCTTTTCATTTTTTTGAAAAATTCCTGACATTACAGAACTAAAGTGAAATGTATTAATATTTTTAAAAGAACGTTCTTCTACGCAACCGCAGGACGCAGGACGGTACCATCACCGGGAGCTTAGCATTGGCACTATCCTCTCATTCACAGACCATATTGTCCCAGCAATGCCCTTTATAGCACACAAAAATGTTTTTTACAGGCTTTATGCCAGTTTTCCTAACAATGTCCTTTAGAGCAAAAAAGATTTTGTAAGGGACACACACAGGGGCGCACGCACACATACTCACATGCATGCGTACGCGCGCGCACACATTTGCCCAGGGCCAGGGTGACGCGTACCTAGCGCATTTTACTCTTGGTGTGTCTGGAACTCTTCTTCCTTTATCATTGGTGACCTTGACACTTTTGAAGATTACAGACCAGTTGCTTTGTCTCCGCTTGGGTGTGTTTCCTTGCGGTTAGATTCAGGTTACGCATTTTTGGCAGGAGTCTCCCAGGAAGGTGCTCTCCCTCCCCCTCCCCCACCCCCCTTTTCTAAGTAAACAGCGTAGGAGCGTAGACACCAAAAAGTGCGCCTGGTGCCTATGCATCCAGTTCAGGGGCTTTCTGCAAATAAACAGCCTATATAACCAGCGTCTAAAAGCCCCCTGGTGTCCCTTCCCGTCACCAGAACTGCCGCCCCCCCCCCTCCCGCCTCACCCCTGAGTGTGATCATTATTCTGGCTTCTAAGAGCTAGAGTTGTTTTACTTGTCCCTGAATTTTTTACAAATTCAGCACGTGTGCTTTCGTATCTGGCTTCTTCCGCTCGACCCCATGACTGTGAAATTTGTCCATGTTCAGTGAGTGGCTGGGAGGGGGCTTCTTTTTTTTTTAGATTTTATTTATTTGTCAGGGAGAGAGAGAGCACAAGCAGGGGGAGCTGCAGGCAGAGGGAGAGGGAGAAGCAGACTGCCTGCTGAGCAGAGAGCCGGATCGTGTGGCTCAATCCCAGGACCCTGGGATCATGACCTGAGCCAAAGGCAGACACTTAACCGACTGAGCCACCCAGGCGTCCCAGGGGAGGGGGCTTCTGAGGGGCGGGTTCCACAGGTGCATCCACTCTGTAAAAACTCATCGAGCCTGACGGGTGTGATTTGTGCACTTTTCTGTGTGTGGGCTAATACTTACGCATTTACATTAGAATTTTATGCTGGAAGAGGGAGGAAAGAGAAGCACCACCGTAAAGGATGCAGACCCCGGAGTCAGACCCTGGAGTTTGCACCTCAGCTCTGCTTGCTGACGAGCTGGATGATTTGGGGCAAGTTGGCTCCCGGAATGAGCCTTGATTTCCCCATCTGTGAAGGGGTTTTACTCCAGTACAAACCTGTAAAATGTTATCGTAGGATCTGCCTCCCTGAGTTGTTATGAAGGTTAAATGAGTTCATTTGTACGTGTTTGGAACAGGACCTGGCATGTAGTGAGTGAAAATAAGTCAGTGTCCATTTGAACCTGTAAGTCACAAAAACGGTTCTGCAATGCGTCGTTGATGGGGTAGCTGGGCGCTTGTGCTGATTTGTAGGGTCGCGTGAGAGCAGCAGATACAGACCCAGCCTGAGGTAGGCGTGTTATGTGGTCCACTCAAATGTCACAGGCCCCTTTGCTGTCAGAGATGACAGAGTTCTGAGATGATGCCCAAATCTTGATAAAATTCTGAACAAAACCAACCACAGTCTTTCCTCAGATTGCACAGTGGCTACCCTCCTGGAAAATCCACTGTATAATTTTTTTTAAAGATTTTATTTATTTACTTATTTGAGACAGAGAGAGAGAAAGAGATATTGAGCGGGGGCAGGGGGGAGAGAATCCCAAGCGGACTCTGCGCTGAGTGCAGAGCCCAACGCGGGGCTCAGTCTCACCACCCTGAGCTCATTACCTGAGCTGAAACCAAGGGGGCGCCTGGGTGGCTCAGTCAGTTAAGTGTCTGCCTTCGGCTGAGCTGAAACCAAGAGTCGGAGGCTTAACCGACTGAGCCACCCAGGTGTCCCCAAAAATCCACTGTGTATTAAAACCAAACACAAAACACTTGTGTTTATACATAAAACAGTTGGGATTGGACTCAGATAATTACAAGCCATTATTTCACGGACACGGACGTCTAGTGGGACATTTAGGAGTCACACAGGGTGTGGGCAATTCTGTGTGGTGCGGAGGGCCCTGCCCTGGGCCCCATCTGGGTCCCAACCTGCGCGGGCCCTGTGATATCCAGAAACACCCCACAGATTGCCCCCATGGCCTCCATTGTTATGCCAACCAACCCCTGGGAGTTCCTGAGATGTACTCTAGGGGACAGCACTGACTATCCATTCACAAGGAGCTTTCTGGAAGCTCTGGGCTAGCCTGCGCTTACAGTCCCTCCTCTTTTGTGGTTTCTGCATTTGCGACTTCGCCTACTCGCTAAATTTATCCGTAACCCCCAAAAGCAGCACTCCTGGTGCTTTTTTTTTTTT